CTTCATGGTTATTCACTTATCCAAGCAAATGAACCCATTAAAAAAATGGTTTAATTGCTTCACAGAACTTTATGCTGTTTCTTAACTAGTTCATGATTTACTTTATCTTGAACAATATGTTACCTAACTTTTGCGTTTTAATGTTCACTATGTAGAAATTTGGTACTGCTGAGGAGGATGCATATAGAAGGGATTTAACCATTAATAGGTACCTTTCTTTTTTGTATATCACATGCTATAACTAGGAAATGAGCACATTGTTCCATAGGTATCTTTAACTTTTAGAAAATGAGTAATGCAAGTAATTATATTCCGTGAGCATATTGTCTTCGTCTGTATCTTTCTTGGTAATCATATGTTCAGCACATGGTAGATGGGGTTTTCTTTTTCTTTTTAAGCTTGTTCTACAACATTAACACCAACTCAGTTGAAGACTTTACTAATTGAGGTAAGCTGATTATGTTTGCTTCTTTCTCCTGAATCTAGTTATTGCACATATTTATATATTGCATTTATGTTTCATTTTTGCCCCTTTTTCATTTAATAAACTGCAGGGATTGAGGATCTAAAATTTGGAAGGATAGTGACTCCATTACCTCCAAAGGCTACGTTTTTGGATGATCCCCTACGGGTTCTTTGAGCTATTCGTTTTGGTATTTGTTTCCTCCTTTGATAGTTTATTATGGATGGAATGTTATTTTCCATTCTAGTGCTCTTTTTCCCCTTAAATGAAGTTTATTAGCATTGCATTTTTTAATCATGGAGGCATGGTAGAATTAGGAGTGGGAGGCACGGCAAGAGTTGTGGAATATAAAATGAGGTTATATTGGAAATTCCAAGTTCTTAGATGGAGAAACTATAGAAGAAATGTCACTGTGCTGAGTGAGAGCTTCTGAATTATGGCTTGTGCTAACAATATTGCTGATGGCTGCCCTAATTTTATCTATAAAAAAATAAAGAAAAGAAAAATAAGAAGATTATCTGCAATACTTGGATTCTCAGTCCTGAATGCAGGCTAAGCTTTCATATGCTTCTAACAACTGCCTTGTTGGCATGGTTGCCCTTTATCTGTTGATTGACATGCATTATATGACTTTTATTTCGTCGATTAGGTGCAAGGTTTGGTTTTACACTTGATGAAGAATTAAAGAAAGCTGTTGCTTGTGATGATGTCAAAACAGCTCTTGCGGCTAAAATTAGCAGAGAGCACATTGGATCTGAAGTATGTTATTTTCATGCCTTGGATTGCTGTTGCTCTGGATATAATTATATTTCTGGGGATATTCATGTCAACTTGTTCAAAGGGAGATTCTCTGCTGTTTTATGTACCTTATGAAACTTCCTAATTTTTCTTATTCCGTATTGCTTGTCTTCTATGCAGATTGATCTCATGATCTCTAGCAATCAACTTGTTAAAGCAATCAACCACATTTGTGATTTGACATTACTTTGGGTTGTCTTTGATCTCCCTCCAAAGGTTGAGCCTGCTGTATCAGGAAAGTGCTATAGGTTTGTGGTTAATTTACTAATGTTATATCCTATTTTCAAAAAAAGAAAAAAAATGTTATGTCCCCTTTGTTCTAGGCTTAGTTTTTATTTTTGTTGAAACACAGGATCATTTTGACTTCATAAGTTCATGTTTAAGAGTGAAATAAATCATAACTGTCCATCTGAGTTTCCATCTGACTGTTCTTTTTAAAATTTTCCATCTGAGTTTCCTGCTTGTGTATTGTTCCTTTTACAATTATAAAGGCTTTCTGCTGCTTATTTGGATGCTACATGGAAACTTATTCAACTCATTGGATGCTCCAGCTTTGATGTGAGTAATGAGACAAATATTTTGTTCATTCTCTCAAGTTGCTTCTATTATCCTCATTTGAAAGCAGCTTCATTTTTGATTTATTCTCTTTTACTCTATGCTATGTGTTATCTTTTTAGCTTCTGAATTATGGTGTGTGAATTTTAGGGCGAACAGAGAAGGTTGTGTTTGTATTCTGCTTTATTTCTTTCATTGCGTAGTGCCGCATACATGGATCAAAATGCTAAAAAGGTACCAATCATGTTCCTCCCATGAGCTTCCATGTGTGAAGGCTAATTCTGTTAATTGGATAGCATGAGCTGGATTCTGATAGGGTGCTATGTAATATATATATAAATATAAATATATATATTATATTTTAAGAAAGTTGTTTGTTATTGTTATAATTTCTACAATGTACTCTTCAACATGGCTGAAAAATTTTTGTTGGATTAAATCTGGAGTTTGATGGGTTCAACCTATTCATCTTGCTTGATTTTGTTATTCAAAACTTTTTGTTTATGATAAATCGAAGAGCTGTTGTTATACACTTTAGTTGGACTCATTTAATCTGGCCTAAACTTGTAAGTTGCTTTATGGTTGAAGTGTTTGACTAAACTTTTTGGTTTCTTGTATATCTTAGTGCAAAATTATGGTGCTTTCTTTCATATGCTGCTTTAAAGCTTAATGCATGCAGCTGGACTGCAGATTCCTGCCGTCAATCACGTTTTCAAAGATTCTCTTAAGCGAAAAGCTAGTGAGGCTGAAACAGTGAGTCTAGATTTCCTACTGATTTCCTGACTTATTCTTTGTTTTTGTTAGGATTCTTTCAGTATAAGCTGAATTGCGCCTTCTTGTAGCATTAACTGCAAATCTCTTTGCTGTGTAGGTTATAATCGTCCATAAATCATTGGAGAGGTTCTTATCCTTGATTCCTTCTCTTTTATCAGATGAGGATATCCAACTCACTGAGGTTGACTGGGGAAGAGAATTTGTCGATGTTACTGTTACATCAAAATTGCGGATACTGACAGGTTTGTACTTTTACTGTTGTAGATTCTACTTTTAGGATTTTCCATATATGGGTCTTTTTCCTTCAAATATAAATTTCTCAGAATAATTCATTATGAGTTAGTTTCTTCAAAATGCTGACCTTTCATTGTACAACCATGTAGTGAGAATTGATATATGATATTTCAAGTTAGTTATGGTACTATAAAAGGTCATGTTTATGAATAAAAGCAATATTATAAAAATACAAAGCATCAAAACAGGATAAAAAATGGCTCACTGGTATTGGAATAGAACTTTTCTGTTGGAACTGACCAAAGGATGCCTGGAGTGTTCCCTGAGAAATATTCTGTTGGACATACTTTCTAGAATTGGAATCATGGGCAGTCTGAATGCATAATCTTTCTCCTTGGGTTCTGGTTGTTTAGGATATTCATGCTTTCTGATAATTAGTTATTTCTACTGAACTCTTGACTCAGCTTTACAGGTTTTATTCTTTCAGCCTGATTTTCCTTTTACTTTAAAACACTTTGAGAATTAGAGTTATTTTTTGGGGCTTTCCTTTTTTTTTTTTTTTTGCTAACTTATCATTCTTACATGTACAGGGTTTCTGCTCAAAGAAATTAAAGATTTTTGGCGAATTGCTTTGTTGATGTCTACATTGCTATATCCCACCGATATTGATTGCAGTCAAGATATTACAGACAAGCACTTTGAACTGGGCAAGAGAAAAGACCTGTTTGTGTCAGTTGAGAATGCCATTGTTAAATTAGGTATCAACAGTCTCTGTTTTTCCTACTTGTTAAGTAATCCTTCCAGTAACTCCTATTCTTTTTCTCCATAATTATAGAAGTTCAAGTATCCTTCGGTTTTCATTTTTTTCATGTGAGACTCTTAATTGACATGGGGCTTGTTGTTAGTCTTTCCATGCAGAACATGCTTACCGTGCGGCTGTTCTAGCTTCTCTTACATGGTTCTTATTTCCCTGATCCTAATGGCCAGTTGCTGTGTCTAATTGAGCATTTAATGACCAATGCTCAGTGCACTCTTACCTTTGGCATTAGTGCTTTCAAACTGCTTCCTTACCAGATAGATCTATTTTGGTCCTGTAGTGTACTATCATCCTATCAGATTTCATTTGTAGGCTAAACCTAGGAAAACTTCCCAAATAGTAATGGGGAGTTGTTTCTCAAAGGCACCAAACTTGTCAATGAAAAAAAAAAAAGGATAGAACATGCTAAACCAAGAAAAAAGAATGAAGTTTATCAGAAATACCAACCCTTTCTTTTATTTACAGATCCATGTTTCTCTCTCTTCCCCATCACTCTTTGTCATCCAATCTGTATCAACACTACCCCCACCATCACTTTCTATCTCTTATGCTTCCCTTTTGTTTCCAACAAGCAAGAAAAAGGGTAAATTAGAATTGTTTGGCAGGCTATCTGTGAAAAACCTCTCAAATGTTGCAAAGAATTAGCTCAAGTAGGGAAGAACCTAGCATTAGATAACCTTCCCCAACAGGACTAAGAGGACAAGGAGAAATCCATTTTTTATGGGTTTCTATTCCTTTGGGTTGTAAGTTGTGTATCAGTACAGCGCAACTTTTCCTTCAAAATTTCAGCTATCTCTTCTGGTTAGTTTTTAGGCACTTTTTCTTCATTATGGTCCACAACTCTGTATGCTACTATTTTCTGTCCCTTACTGATTGTAATTATTGTAATTTCTATTAAAACTTGGACATTAAAGAAAATTAAACTTATTGTATATTTGACAATTTTAGGAAATATTATCACTTTTAGGAAATATTATCACCTTACACAAACAAGTTAAAGCTGAAAAGTAAAATGACGACATAAATGCTCATAGGTTTATGAATCTAAAAGAAAATTTCTAAGATTTTAATTACATAAATGCAATATCTAACTGCAAAAATATTTTTCAATATCATCCAAGCAATGGAAAGTGGTTTTTTTTTTTTTTTGTTTCCTGAGAAAATATTTTCCATGACAGTATTTCCCGTTTAGAAGTTTTTTTCTGTAATCTAAACAATCCCTATGTCTAGTCTTTGATGTCTAATGGTTAATATCACGCCCTGGGCGAGTGCACCAGGTGCATAGGCCCGAGCACTAGGGGCCAAGGCTGGAGCACTAGGGATAGTTGTGGAGGTTGGAGCAACAAGCATGGTAGAAAAGTCCAAACCGCCCGCATAGCATGCAAACTTGTGCACATAGCCAGGACCAAGCCTGTAACATGCCCGCACCTAGGGGAGCCGGCCGATCCAGAATCTTCTAGAGACATCTAGGATTGACAGCATTCAATAGGAAGATCTGGTTGACCTTGAAAATCAAGAGCCTCAAGTAATTTGTGTAATAATGTGTAATTCATAATTTTTAGGAATCTTGTAAATCCCTTGATTTTAGGAGATAGCCATAAGTAGAGCTGGGGGCCTCAACTATAAATAGAGGGTTGCTCCACTTTTAGTTGTACATCATTAGACACACTTGCATATTCCAGCATTCTGTTGTGTTCTCTAACTTGCGTATTCCACCCTTCCTTATTCTTGTTTGCTCGCATGCTAGTTGCAAAGACTGAACTTAGGCATATAGAGTTAATTCCAAGCCCTAAGGCCGCACGGATTCAGGCTTAAGTCTAGAGCCCGGGACAGTTGGTATCAGAGCAGGTTTCAACCGGAAGTTGGTATTAGAGCAGGTGTTGCTTGTGTGTTTGTGTGCAGGTTGTTAGATCACAGTTGAGGAGATGGCATCCCAAAGCGATGTTGCTAGCCAACAACCAGAGATCCAGGAGCAAGGCAGTGGAAGGGGGAAGAAGGCTAATTCGAGAGACATCTGGTCTACCATGGACGGAAGGCTGGCCAAGGTGGAGGTGACAGTGGCTGATGTAAGGGACAAGTTTGACAAGGTGGAGGCTTGCTTTGAGGATATGGACTCCAGGGCGGAGGAGCTTAAAGGCGAGATGCAATCTGCCCTGAATGAGACAATCGACATGCTCACCCAGAGGAATGAAACCTTGGAGGCCATGATGGAGACCATGCGCAAGGAGTTTGAGGAGCTCAAGGGGGAGCTCACTGCTTGGAAGACAGCCATTAGGAATGGTGTGATTGCTGGTGTGCCAAAGTCTCGTGTGGAGATCCCCAAGCCCAAGGAGTTTAAGGGGATTAGGGCAGCAAAGGAAGTGGATAAGTTTCTATGGGAGATGGAACAGTGTTTCCAACTTGTAGGCATGCAGGACGATGCCTCTAAGGTAGCACTGCTTCCATGTATCTTACTAATGTCGCCTTATTATGATGGAGGCGCAGGTGTGATGATGTGAGGCATGAGGGCACCATGATTGGAACCTAAGATGCATTCCAAAAAGAGTTCAGAGAGCAGTTTTACCTGGAGTATGCCAATGATGAGGCGCAGGCAAAGCTACGTCGGCTTACTCAACAAGGGGACATAAGGAAGTATATCCAGAAGTTCTCTGAATTGATGCTTCAGATTTCATATCTGAGCGAGGTTGAGGGTTTGTTTGCCTTCATGGATGGGTTCAAGCCGTGGGTGAAGCATGAGCTACAAAGGTGGGGAGTTCGTGATCTGGCCAAGGCCATGACTATAGCTAAGTCCTTGGTAGAGTTTAGGCCATAGAACAAGTCAGAGTCTACCAAGGACAAGAGGGATCGGGAGAGATAGTCCAAGGGAAAGGATTGTGACCGGTAGTCTAAGGATGGGGATCGAGACCATTCGGAGAAGGATGGCCAGGGGAAGCCACCAGCAGGGAAGTGGAAGGCTAAGAGGGATCGGGAGTTGATCTCATGCTACCTATGTGGAGAAGGCCACATAGTGCGAAACTGCACACAAAAGGGCAAGTTGGCTGCCATAGGCAAGGAGTTGGATGAGGAGCCAGAAAAGGGGATAGCAAAGCTTGGGTTGATAGTGCTCAATGCTGTCCAATGCAAGGGGAGCCGCAAGTCAAAAGGCTTGATGTATGCGGATCTGTTGGTTGTGGGACAGAAGGTGAATGCTCTAGTGGATATAGGAGCATCACACTTGTTCATCTTAGGTGATGGAGCCCAGAAGCTTGAACTGAAGGTGCAAAAGGGGACTGGTACCATCAAGACATTGAATTCCAAGGAGGTGCCAACCAGTGGAGTAGCTCATGGGATAGAGCTACAACTCGGAGATTGGAAGGGCAAGGAAACCATCGAGGTAATTCCTTTGGATGACTGAGTTTGTGATTGATTTAGATTTTTTTGTTTGGATTAACGCCCTCATTGTGCCTTTTGCCAATTGTATTTGTATTTTGGATGAGCGGTGCCAATCACTTGTACCATTTTTTCAAGCTGGATTTGGAGCATGTTGTGCATCTTTACCACCCACAGCCCAGCAAGTTGCATTTGATGTTAGAGTTTTGTTTGAACGCAGGTCTCAAGAAAGTTTGGGATTTAAAACCATTGGTTAATGGAAAGGATATCATGAATGTTTTGCAGCTTAAAGTCGGGGAGGGCCACTTGTTAGGGAATGGGTAGGGCATTTTCAGCTTCCCTATTTTTTTTTTTTTTTTCAATTTTTTTTCCTGAACTTCAAATGCTAATCTGTTCTTTCATTTGCAGGAACAAAAAGTTCTAATGTGGCAGCTGGCACATCCCTCTGAACTGCTGAGGAATTTCTTGATTGGATGAGGGAAATGCATTCGAAGTGTGTAAAGACGGAGTAGCTGACTTGTTTGCCATTTTCTTCAGCCTGAGTGGTTGGTATATTTTTCTGACTATCCATTGTTCTGGATATTTTTGAGCTGGATTACCATCGAAGCAAAATTGTCTTCCAAGTTTTGGATGTCTTCTTGACCTTAAAATCATATAAAAGAATATTAGGAGGAACCTGAAAAGCTTTGTTGCAGCAACATAACGTTTCTGTCAAGAATTTTGAAATGATCTTTGATTCTGTAGTTTGTACATAAACATCAGGATAGATGCATAAGGAATTTGTCTACTCTCACATTTTTATGTCAGTTTGAACTGTAACTACTTCAATAAAGTATCATGTTCTTCACATAAAACTATTGATTAGGTTAGATGACTGTAGTAGGCATGCTGATGCAAAGGAAGAACCATTTCATTTGGTGTAGTTGATTATCCTGTGTGTTTGTTGCCATTGCCTGCCAACTGTTCCCTTAGAGACTTTGAGCATTTGTCTTTGGAATTTTACGTTTTAATGCTTTTGATTTTAAGTTGTAATGTGAATTCTTGGTATGAATTTACACTATGAAATTTATTAGCAAAACATCCAGGCTTCGCGGCAGGGCATACAGGTAATACTGGTAACCTCTTTTGGATGAAAAGGGTGGTATTGTGTGAATGGTGTACAAACTGACTAATGATCTTACCATCTCAAGTTATTGTTGGATTTATCTGCTATTAATTATTGGTCTAAAAGTTGTCTCTTTTAGCATTGGAATTTGATATTGTTTTTATTAAAAATTAAAATAGAAAAAAAAAAACTTGTTTTCGCCGCAACCTCAATGCTAAAATAGTAAAAAGGTTTGGTTTTGAAATTTATAAGTTTTTTTTTAATTAAAAAGCTCTTTAGAAATGTGTTTGAAGTTCAAAAACACTTCTCGAAAGTAAAATTATTTTTTATCTTTATAATTTTAAATTTTTATTATTTTATACATATAATTTTTATATTTCAATACATTAACAGTATTTTTTTTCTCGCAACAATATTAAACACTTTGAAAATTTGAAATCATATTTTTCTAATCACAATTTTAAATACACTTTCAAACTGAGGTTTTTCAAAAGGTAACGGCTATGCTAAACTAAACTAAGCCCTAGGTAGTAGTTTGTGCTGCTTTGTGCAGGAAATAGTTAAATGCCAAAATGTTAGCGTGGAAAGGGTTACTTGTAAATTGGAAAAGTAACAAATGGTAAGCAAAACACAAACAAATATCAACATAACTAGATAATTCAGTAATTAGGGGTTAACCATATTCACAAAACTGCTAAAAAGCAATGTCAACATTCAAGACATTGGATAAGAACGCAACCAATCACACACTCAAAAATGATATAATGACCTATGATGAGTACCAGAGATCAGAAATATATACCGTATGCAGGTCACTCCATTCTACGAAATCCAGCTCATTATCACTTGTGAAATTAACATTCTGGAAGAGATTGAGCTGATGCAAAAGGAGAAAAACTAGCTGCTGACTCACTACAATGCAGGGGATGCAGCATGTGACCAGAAGAACTGACTAAACCTGGTGATGCATTGCTTGGGCTCCGAAAATACGGGGACATGTATCTTGCATTAAGTGGTGATATAGAGGGGTAATTCAATGAGGCTGATGAAGCCAAATGAGAAGCATGAGATCTTTGAGACGATGCATTCCTAAGATCTACTGAGCTTTGGCTACAGCTCATAGAAGGCGATTGACGGTAGGTCCTAAGTGATTGCTGAATGTATGGAGTACTGGCAAGAGAATGAGTATGAGAAACTGATGGAGACCGTGATGCTGCTCGGGCAATTTGTATGGCTGAAGACGATGCTAATGAAGATCTAACAGATGATAACACAGAGGAGGACACAGAGCTTGGGGTGGATGAAAGCAATGGTGTACTTTCTGATGCCGGTTGATCACCTGTGCTGGTTCTTGCATCTCGCTTGCAGACAGGGCAAAAGGTTCTCCATGTTGTGAGCCAAGAATCAACACAGAAAGCATGAAACTCTGAGAAAATGCCAAGAAATATTCAGATATACACCAATGAAATATAAACTGCAATAAATTAAAATAAAGTAAAGAAATCACGCAAGTTGAAGAAACATTAAAAATATCACTATTACAAAGGCAAGAATGATAGCAAGAGAATACAATTACAACTCATATTTTGGTGTCCTGAATAAAACTAATACGTAACAAACAAATAACCAACATAAAACTGATATTTCCTTCAAATTTTCCTCAAGATACATTTGTTTCGGGGAGGAGATGGTAAGGATGTTATTCAATCACTTATAAACCCAATATAGTTTGTTTTATGTAAAGAAAATAGACTTAGTGCATTTTTATTAGCCTTCTGAAATTTTGGCTAGATATGAGTGCTTCTTAGTGAAGCAATGTTTCATATTCTTGGAAATCACAGCACAAAAGAAGAAAAAAAAAAAATTAATGCAGGATAGAAAGAAAAGTGGGTTTTAAACCTAAAACAGAGTGGGAAATTAAATGATAAGAAAGAAGACAAGGTCGACGCTTGACACCAAGATTTCCTTAGAAGTCACGACCTGACATCTGAACGATATATACCTCAAGCTAGGGTTACTTAAACGCAATCCCAGTGAATGCATAAAAGCTGCTAGAATTTTCATATGATATTATTAATTGGAAGAAACAGAGAGACTTCTAGATAGCCTAAACCTACAAATGACTTTCCATTATGGGGACCTGGAGTCAACTAAAAAAGATTCCTATAAATAAAATGCAAAATAATAAGCCTCTTGGACTAAGGCACTACACAATTTGCAACTTCTAGAAAATCTGAAAATTACCATAAGAAATCTTGACTCATAAATTTAATGAATTAATCAGATTGAATCAAATTTACTACTTCCTCACACAATCATGCATGAAATTAAAACTTATCATAGCTATGCGAAATAGGTAAGATTCTATATTAGTTTGACATCAGGGAAAGATCAAGACCCCTAGATATCCTTGGCAGTGATATTGTTTCTTGTTCTTGCCCCTATCAATAACCACTTCCAAAATTTTAAGGTCTTCCTTACAATTCAAACAACTTTTTTCTTAAAGACAATAAGACTAGAAGAAGGAACATCATATAGGAATTAGATTAGTCCAACATTAAACACAAACCATGACTCTAGATTTCTTCAGCATTTGATCTTGCATCTTGTTCTTGCAAACATAAATAAAGAATTTCTAATTAGAAAATCTTCCTTACAATTCATACAAATTACCTTAAAGGTAATGACTATAGTCAAAGAAGTCATCCACATGCATTTGCTTTACCAAAATAATAGATGAACCCAAAATCTCAGACCAACAGATTTCCTGGAGCCTAATATCACTATCTTGGACATGATGCTATGTAGTCACTCAGTAGGAAACGACAATTAGACAAAAAGGGGCAAAATTAGCAAATACTTACTACAAACAAAAGGCTCATGTTGTAGAACTAAAAGCTTGATTCAGTAAGCTATGCAAACAACTTAAAAATCTCAATCATATTTGAAGGCAAAGATCTTATAGTTACATTGGTAATTAACTTAACAAGCATATTTTTTTAGCATAATAATAGTAATACAATATTTTCCCTCCAGTTTTGATTCATCACAGAGCATATCTGTGTCTTTAAATGAAATGGAATGCACAAATATCTCCGGACAGCAAACAAGTAATATAAGCATAAATGCAGATGAGTGCATGCATGCATGCATCTATACTGTCATAAATGGGTAATTTGGATTTGTTTAAGTGAGATAAGACAAACCCATTTTCCCACCCAGCTCTAGCTTGTGTCTTTTGAGAATTTTTAGAATGAGATAAAAAAAAAAGGAAAAAAGGACCCACTAATGACATTTTCTTTGATTCCTCAAGAAATATTCTTTTATAATAACAAAGAAAAATTCCTGTGAAGAGAATTTAGATCAAATAAAACCCTCAAGCGTACGGTGAAAAAAGTTATTGTGGATTCACAGAGGACCACTACAAGTCTACAATAATATTTCTGGTAGATTTGAAATGCTCAGAAGAATTGTCCATTTACCTCCTCCCCCCCTAACGTCCCTTATTTGAGTTTTAATTTGAAAATGGGGACAGTAGTCAGAAATACTATTCACACACACTGAGTACTATTATTGAACTCAAAAACAAGTAATTATTGGTATCTGAATGCTTCTAAATCAAATGGAACAAATAGTTTTCATCTCCATTTGCAGCTAAAATCATGCCAATGCAAACAGCAAACAACCATTGGGAAATAATAGATATAGGATAGCCACCAGCAAAAAATGTCTCAGGAGATTGGTGGCCTAATCACTATACAAAATAAATTCAAAAAGACACCAGGCCACCACATTAACACAAAAATAATTATACGGTAAAATAGAAAACGATGTCATCCTCAGTGTTGTAAGAAGCTTACTGTGACAACATGGAAGAATTCTGAGCTTCTCTCCCATGTTATAATCTTCAAGACATATTGCACATGTTCTTGCAGTACAATTATCTTCTAAGACAGCAGTAAATATCAAGCTAGGCATTGCTTTTACTAAACACCTGCTCATTCCGTGGAATTCACGAATTCGAGAAGATTGAGGGTGTTCTCGTCTAATACGATGCCTGCGTACAAAGAAACAAGTTGCCAGCACCGCCGACATAGCAAGTAGAGAAATAAAGGAGATGGCCATGATTGACCATGCTGAGTTTTCAAAACTAGGGATCAGCCACAGCTCCACATCAGTAGACCCGGCATATTTTTTGAGCATTTCACCAGAAGGTTTGGAAACAAAGACAGCATATATCTTTATGCCAGCTGGATTCCCTGCCACTGTAAAAAAAAAATTAAGGTTAAACTAGAGGCACCATATAGAAAAGTATATATTTTTGTTCAAGAACAATGACAATAACTGATACAAATAAACATCAGCCATTCAAGGAAATATTAAAAATAAAAATAATAAAGAAGTTTGGTACAGAGCAAACATATGCATAAATGAATAATGACAGCACATTTATAAATCTAGATAAAATAAATGATGGTAAAGATTTGGTCCTAATTCCCACTCTTCTTGAAAGCATTCAGAGCCTAGCACAAATACACCTCTGTCCTATATAACATATCTTTAATTTCAGCACCCTATCTGTCATTTGCAATCTACTCTAGCAGAAAAAAAAAAAAAAAGAAAAAGTATCTTCCTGACAGTTAATTCCAGCATCCAAATATTTACTTGTGAAGATGATTCGGCAACTATAGGTTTAATTGATTAAACTATTTACCGTTTGACAGGTAAAATGTTTTCTCAGCCAGAAGTAAATCTAAAGAACTGGAGATATAAGAAAGATGAGTTATAGTAGTAAACTGTTTTTAAGTGTTATAATATCCATGCTACTTTAAAGAATCACATAATTTACAATGGAGTTTTACATGAATGTGGCAACTGTAGGATTAAAATGGAAAAAGAATTGCAAAATTTGTCTGTCAAGATCTGTGGATTCAAAATTATTCACACAATTGTTCGCATCAGGAACAAAAACAATAACAAAGTCTTACCTAGGAGACCAGATAAATTGCAGTAGAGTAAGATGAAAAGTTTTCTATCTATACGAAAACAATATTTACTAGAGGTTGTAGACTAAGGGGACTCTGCATCATATGAAGCTCATTCTCCAACTCCACCCTTATCAGACTTTGCCAAAACAACTACATCAACACAATCCTCCTACTAATGATGAAAAACTTCTATGTAATCAAATTTGTTGTCCATATGGTTACACATGTTTTCAGAAAACATATATATGGTTTAACAACTACAAAATCATACCAAACTACCATCTAACAAATATATCAAACATAAATTTAGGAGAATGCTTATGGAAAAAAAGTCTAAAAGGGTTATCAAAAGATGAGTACTTGAACTTATTCAATCAAGATTTGGTGGCAAATACTGTCAAAAGACATTCAAAGAAGACAACAGGTTTCTTAGCATTTACAATTTTCTTTAGATTAGCAAATCCTGTTCAAGAACTCCTAGAATTTATTGGCAAACAAAAGGGTCAATTTTATTCATTTACATAGTGTTTCAATAATGATAATTGGCAGCATTTTCTCTTGCCCAAGTATCTTTCTAGAAGACCAAGTTTACCAAAATATACATAAATATGCAATTGCAATCACTGGATATAAAAAGGTGTTTTTCAAAGAAATAGGGCATTACTTGAAACCAAGATGCCATCATCATCATTGTCGTAGATAATAGCAGCTTTGAATCCTGCCTTTTGTGCTGTCCTTACTTTCTCCTCAAAGCTGCACCCTCCTCTAATAACCAATGCAAAAGGGGAAGTAACATTCGAAATTTCATTACTCAAATCCGAACACGCATCAAGAGGATTTGCCAAAAATAATACCCCACATTCCCCTGACCCTTTAATCGCTGGAACTGAAAATTACCAACCAACAAAAATAAAATTCAGTTATATTTTCAACACCAATAGATATCAATTTCTCACTTTAATCAAACATAAGTTACTTCAATTTCTCATTTCATGCACAGTTTACGTAAACAAAGCATTAAATCACATATTCAATCAAATTTATTAAGTTCAGCTCAAAGAAGAAAATAATCAACATTGAGCTCTCGTAAGACCTAGAGATCCAAATTTTCTCGAATTTTCCCACACTTTCTCAAGAACCAAAAAGAAAAAGCCGAAAATAAATTTAAAGAAAAGAGCTTACCAAAATTAGCTGCAATATCGTCGAAAGAGAAGGTAACGTTGTACCCAATCAACACCACACTGGCTGACGCCATCCAACAGACACTCAATAAACAGACAAACCATAACAATAATACCACAACAGGATTCATCTTCATCAAAAAAAAAAAAATCGATCGCAAAAAGAAAAACCCTAATTTTCTGTCGGAAGAAAGAGATTTGATTTTGTTGGCGGTTTAGAAGGAAATGGAAACATCAGCTTCCATTAGCACAAGAAAAATAGAGAGAAAGAAATTTTAAAAAAGACGAGAGAGAATATCTGAATTTTTGGGTTCTGCTTTCAAAGTTTGATGCTTTTTAAATCCGATTATGGTAACTTCTTATTTCATCAGATACATTTTAAAGCTTTTTTGCAATTTGTTCGAACACAAATCTCAGAAACGAAATGACATCGTTTTTTTTTTCTTCTGTTCCAAACATCCAATTGAATATTAGAAAAAAAATATATAATAAAAATAAAATATGTTTTTTTAGTTCAGTAGTATTATATATGTCGATAAAGTTGTTAGGTCAAGCAATTTTGTCCCTTTATGAATAATTGATTGCTTTTTTTTTTTATAATTTTATTTTATAATCTTTGAAGTCGACAGTAGAAACTAGATTAATCCAAACATTAATTAATTAAATCCTACACTAATTAATTAATTAATTAATATATTTTTTAAAAAAATTAATTAATTAATACTTTAATACAAATAACCTGTTATTACTTTATCATGGACAAACCTATCAAAAGCAAAAGAACTTTATTATGGCAAGTAGCCCGCTTGGGATTATCCTATTAATTATAATAATTGTAAAAATAATTATCAAGATTATGTTTCAAAATTTTTTCTTAGTAATTAGTTAATTATCACAATTTTTTTCTTTCTATAATTTCCAAGAGAAATATACTGAAAAAATAAAACTTACAACATACTAATTTTTCTTTACATTTAAATTTTAGAGCAATTTATGTAGATTATTAATTTAAAATCCAAGACATGCAGGTATATTTAGTACGAAATGATTACTTCAAAAATTATGATGATTTATATATGTTAATTATATTGTTTTATTTGTTACGCATTTAATAATTTTACGTAACGGTGATTTTAGATAATAAAAAATAATTAGATCAGCATTTTGAAAGATGATGTGAATTTTATAGAAAAAAATAATAAACTTTTATTATTGAGATAAAATGATGTATAAAATTAATTATAATTAATTTTATTTATTTAATATATAAATTAAAAATTTACTGTATATTAAAATTATAATTATTTTATATTATAAATTTTTATATTTTCAAACTATTATTCATTGTAATAAATTTAAAAATAATTTGTGTATTTTTTATTTTAAATATTTATATAATATAATTTTTTGAAAATTTCTTTTGTTATTAATTTAATAGATTGGTTTTATTTTCTAATTCAAATATTTCTTACATAATTTATATTATAAAATTAATTTGTCTATCAATAAACATATTTATTAATTTAATAATTTAATTATATTTTATTATAAAATAAATATTACTAATATTTTACAAATTATTATCTTTAAACAACTTTAAAATTATTAATTTGTATAACTATTATAATATATATAATTATTTTCATACTTTTAAATAAAATAATATTTGATCTTTATTTTCTAAGAATTAGTGATTGTTAACTAAAATGATTTTAAATCACAAGTATTAAAATTATTTTGATAATAAAATCACTCGGTGATTACATTACTAAGGAGATTTTTCAAAAAATACTAAATACTACAATAATATTTTTATCAAATAAGTTAAATAAATAAGAATTTGAAATTAAGAATAAATTAAGAATTTTACAAAATAAAAAATTTCAATACTACTAACAAATCATATAATTGTTAAATTGTTATTTTAATTTGCAAGTAAAATTACATGATTTCTTCTATTCAGTATTTGATTAATATTTTGACTTCCTAAAAACAAAAAAAGAAAAAAAAGATTTAAAATTTTGATTTCTTTATTTTATTTATTTTTTATCCTTAAAAAGCATTGAGCTGAAGTTTTGAATTTCAGTCAACTACGAACCATTGATTATTATTACGTTCATTATTCATTTATATCTCTAAACTATATTTAAAGTAGTCTTGTTGATTTGAATTTAATTGCTTCATAATTTTTTTTTGATGATTAGCATTCAATGATTGATATTAAGTTAAGTTTATTATTATTTTTTTTGTATTTAAATTGATCAAATGATGATATTAGTGGATTGTGATTGCATGTGTAAATGGATTTGGATTTTAATAATTGGTCAATATTTAATGTTGGTAAATTTTGTATGGTGGATTGGACAGTCATCTATATATTGTTGGGTTATAATTGACTTAAGCAAATAAAACAACTGAATTAAAAAAAAAATCTTAGATCTAAAAGAACATGATTAAGAGAATGAAATAAGAATTTGCAATTAGTTTTTAACTTCAAAAGATTTAGTTTACGTGTCAAAAAGAGCTACTGTTTTCATTTGGTTACGATGTGGGAGGCATGGTTCTCCAAGTTTTATTTGATCAATATTCTTATCTTTACTTTCCTAGATAATTTTACAATTTTTTTTTATTTTATTTTCTCTGTTCCTCTTTCCAATTCTATTAGATTCTTTTCATTTTTTAGATTTTCTACTTCTTTACCATTTACAATTAGTTAAGGAACAAATTTGTAAGTTTTATTTATTAATTCTTCTTTTAGTAATTCACATTTTTTGCATCATTCCTTACCTCATGTTTTATTTATTTATTTGTTTTTGTCTTTGTTCGCATTTGTGTATAAAGTCCATCTCTATTTTTTATATATAATTTGATTTTTTTATTTCTATAATTATATTTTAGCATTTGCTTTTTTTCTTATTTGATTTATCTTTTTCTATTTTACTAGATTCATATGTAGCCAAGTTTATAACTAGCTACGTTTTAGGTATTGATTTTGTCTTGGTTTGCTAGAGGTGCATTAGTTAGTTGTTTTCAATAGCTTTAATGACCCTTTTGTTTGAGTTTGTTGTATTTTGCATGTGCGTTATGGATGCTAATGAATAATTAAAGCAAAATTAGTTTAAGAAAGTATAAAAGGTAAGTGAAAATAGATTGAGAAAACACTTGAATCACATTATGGATCTCTATTTTGTTATATAATCCACTAGAGTCAATCATAAAAGTCAGAGGCAAAATAATGTTAATAAGTCTATACATGATATGAGGTTAGCAAGAATAACTATGTTCAATAGGTTACTCCATTTTGATGTAGTGTTGTCTAATTCAAGTAATATAAATGTCATGGATTCAAATAATATTTTATGGTAGTTAGAAAGTTATCATCAGTTTAGATATGGTAGCTCACTCTATTATGGGTTGGAATGGGGTAGATTTTTATTTGTCTTGCCTTCCTCATTACATCTTTACTCTATCTCTGACCTACCACTTATTAGAGTTTTTAGTTATGAAATCTGACTTTGACTCCGAAAAGAGGAAATCATTTTGACTTTACCCCTACTCGAATCCCACCATAGTATAATCTAATAAATAAGCTATTCAATATACAAGATAGAATATAATGTAAATAAATAAAACAAAATATAAATAGAATATAAATCAAATAAGCTACCCCATTAAAATTCATGTAAGTATTTATATACAAGAATTTCCATCCTTGAACTTGAATATTTAAGAAAAAAAAAAACAAATTAAGCAACAATTAAAAGTTTAGAAATGATAAAAAATTTAGAAAGAAGATCTAAAGGCAAATTATCCCATGAATCTATTACTATTATATTTTTAAGTGAATAAAGCTTAGCCCATTACAAAATGGAGCTCTATGCATGAAGAAGCAAGAAAGGGACCAGAGTTTTAAAGTTGAATACCAAAATCCACCACAAAAGCAAAAGAGTCGATTTTATGGTTTCACAGTATGGAAGATTTTTAGTTCATATTTAGTGTTAGGATTTCAAAGATGAGAAAAATATTTGGCTCAAGTTCTCAATGAAGTTCATGAAAGATTTGATGAAATTTACTTGCCTCTTATTCGTAACCTTGGACCAGTCTTTGCCAGCTAGCAACAGTGAATGAGAATGGCATGACAGAAGATAAGACCTGAGATTGAAAATGAGAAAGTGAGGTAGAATGAGAAAGATAAGAACATAAAAAATGAGAAATATGTAAGTGAAACAATAACAAATTATATATATTAAAGTTATTTTGGTAAAAAAATTGGGTCAGGGAAAATTTCATATAAAATAAATTCTACATTTTCTTTGAACTACATTTTTTTAAAAACTGACCCCCTTTACCCGAAACCTAATTTAAAAAGAAACCTACCCTCATAGGGTTGAGTCAGGTCGAAACTTGATGATTTCAAGTTAATTTGTCATCCTAAATTGTTGGTTATGATGGTGACTTTTACACAATCTCAATTGACACTATGACCTAAATAAGATTTGATTTTTTTTTTTAATCTCAAGCAAAAAGGTCTGGGTCCCATTGTGTCTATGATGGTTCAGCTTGTAGTAGCGATAGTTGTCCTACTCTATATGATGTTCTTATCATAACCCTTTTATTTGATGAATATTGTTTTAAACTTAATTTTTCATTTAAAAGTACAAATAGCACTCAGAGTTTCTATGTTAGGTTTGGTTTTCTTGATATCATAGATCATAAATTAACACAATCATACATCACATGTATTAGATAACACAGCAAAATAGGTAAACAATCAAAATTGAGAACAATCATAGGATCATACTTTTGTTTATGCATATAAGTTTAAAAGTTTAAAACATGGATCCATTTAAAATCATACCTAAACTCAAGATATTGTAATCAAGAGTTAATACAATCCTTGGTTGTGTCTAAAAGTTGAGAGAAGTCAAGATTCAAGCCATTCAAGCCATTCAAGTGTTTGGCTTCCAATGTTAATCTTCACAGCAACTATTATTGAAACCTTTGCAAGGAGGGATTCTAACCCGTGCTAATAGGTGTTTCAAATAGAAACCAATTCTATTTTAGTTGTAGACTTTAAAGTTTCAAGATGGAAGAGGAAGAAAATAGTTTTTCTTACAAAGCAAAAGAAGTCTCCATATTTCTAAAGAAAACATTAGCTTGGCCAATTGTTTTATGATTATTGAACTTGTGTTTTTGTAAGTTTTAATTGCAATATACTATTTTCAAATGTCTAAGGATGTGTAGCGGAGGCTAAGAAGAGATCTATTTATACTTTTCTTTAATTTTCACTTTTATAGTTAAGGATGTAACTTTTATAGCCTTTACAATTTAGTCTATGTAAGCTTTAATTCCTATATTTTCAACTTTTTCAATTAAGTCCAACTTAATTAATTAATCCCATATTAATTTGACAAAATCACTTTATGTGTGTAGCCCGTTAGACTTCCAATATGTTGACAATG